CGAGCAGTCCACATCCTGGATTATCATTTCAACTACGGTCGTCCTCAAATCCGCTGTGCATCTAATTTAGTCCAAACGAGGATGCGATACTACTATTCATACCGGGCATCATATCGTGCCAAATCGTTCACACGTTGCGATAAGCGCTGAGTTTCAAATTAGTTTGAGGCTAATGGAAGATTCAGGCGAAATTCAGCTGAGTCTTTCATTTATGATCTTCTCATCCTTGTGCCGCACATTCATTTAGGCCGCCAAAATTTTCTTAAAAACGGCCATCAAGACAGCATACCAAATGTTATTTCCTAAAGGGAGCCTAAAAAGCATCGCATCACAAGCTCTTCTTTCCTGTTTGAGGAGAGAATTTTCGTATTATACGAGCATGGGCTTTGATGTTTACCGCAAACGCCTTGTATTCAGGTTAGCACTTTAGAACAGTCCTTGGACATACTGTCCCATCTTTTACACTGTTTTCAGCCAGTGCTTCAGAGAATGCATTCAGGCATGCCGACCCATTGTCCCCATCAGATTAACCGAAAAAGTCGACAGATGGTCTTATGTGATAGGATTTTTCGTGAAATTTTGCCATAGAAACAACAAACACTCAAACGGTTATCCCATAGCCGTTTTCTCTGCCTACTTTCGTCCTGCCTAGCCTCGTAGCAGTGTGTTCCGGAAATGTCATGAAAAACACTTCAACTCGGATTGTGCCCACCCCCGTCCAGTCCACTCACAACATCCGTACCTTTACAACGGAAGTGAAAACGTACTCAACGCACTTACGTGTATAAACATTATATTGTCTTGTCTTAGAGACGGTCACAGTCGAATTGAACAGCGACTCACATTTGGTATTGATTTTTCAACTGCTGGTATGCTGTTTCCTAATCCTACCTGGTAGCCAGCGTGGCAGCAACGCCGTTAGGAGACGCGTCCAGTTGTTTTGTGTACGTGAATGCGCGCGTCTATGCGTATTCCTCATTTCCGGATTCCAACTTGCAGGCTAAAATATTGTACCACGTGGAGAAAGGTGATTGGGACAGTACAGCTTGGGAAATAATTTGTGGGCAGCAAGGAAGCCACACTACATACAGGCCGACCTTCTTATGCACTCCACGTACAGTAGGGAGAATTGTCTTGGATAACTGAGTTAAAGTAAAGTGTATTGCTTAAATCTGTAATAACACACTGTGTACAACATCTAACTACGGAGCAGGTTGAAGGTGCCCATGTGGAGATTCTAACTCGGGCCGTCAGGTGGTTGGATCCTTTGGGCTACCGGGTCAACCCTCGTTGCTGCTTAAAACTGCCCACGAGACACAACTCTAATCGGCTATGGCTCAAAGGCGAAGGTCCGTCATTGAGATCCGACGTTCCTATTTAAATTTATTGCTCAATAGTGCAAAAAATGGTGTTTTTCAAAGATCGAGAGATCGCTTGTCATCAGAACCTTGCAACGAATTCGACTCATTAGACGAAGTTGTATGCGACTGGCGAGAACTAAAATGAAAGATTCGTCAGCAGAAACCGATATGTCTAAATCGTTAGATATCTACTCTTCATCTGATACTATTCCCGAATCCGATAAAACTATGGCTGATCAAGTGCGATTCACCCTTCTTGAGGTTTATCACGTAGGTCTGGTTCCCAAACTATGAAAAATCTTATTCCACACTTGAAAACCGAAACGAACAAACTTGGCGATAGGTAGTTTGCGAAATGTTTGCTGGTTATTTTGTTTCTGTTGAGCTTCCCGTTAACAAAAACTTAGACGGTGAGTGAGTTTTGATCGCTGTATACGGCTATCCGCTAAAGTTTCGTTGCCGTTTCATTTACAGCGACCAGTCCTAGCCAAAATGTGCACATCACATGTGACCCAGAAATGTCTGTTACGCTGGATGTTTGGAGACGAGGCAAAGCAAGAAAACGACGACCGCCACGTACTGGAAGATAAGATGAATCATCATAATCGAGCTTTTACATTTCCGTCGAATCGAGGATCGCCAAACTCGCTGTTTACAGCGCTCTGAGTAAGGTAAGGAAAATGGTGTTACTTCTGAAAAACCTATTCACAGGACGGATTCACTGCCAAACACGTTATTCAAACGGACATCCTGCCACTCAGGTGAACAAACTAACACCTACTGCTTGTGAGAAATCGGTCTTTAGCTTGCAAGGGAAGCTTTCAAAACCGTGCAGCAAATCAAGAAGCAATATGCTGGAATGTTTGTGATCCATGTGAACCAAAAATAAACCAGCTCATCCCCTTAAGTTGCACAAGTTAGAAAACGTGACTCAGACCTTCATGATTCGCACGCTGACTGTGAATCCCCGCACGCGATCAGTAGCCAGGACCTCAGCAATGTGACCTTATGGCCTGCGGATACAGAGCGCACGTCAAACGAGAAATTCCATCCGAGAACGCCCAGACATTCTTAGTCCTTCGGATGACCAGCACAATGTGATCTGCATGCTGTATCGAGGTTAGCAACAGCGAACTGATGAGCGCTGAGAACTTCATGACCCTCAGCCATCAAAAATAAAACCACACAGAAATTCAGAACTGTGGGGTCCATCTAGAAAAAGAATAGAACTTGCAGACAGCCTCTCTACTCAAAACGAAGCAATCACGAATCTGTGATACTAAAAGAACGCGCCATACTCACAGACTTACTTTGTCGAGCAAATATTTAGAAAAGCGTATGGGTCAATCAAATAAACTGCCCTTGTCTAGATGATATAAAAATCCAGACAGAAGCCGTGCAAAATCTACGTACCCTGCAGTGATTTAATTTTAAATACCTCCCTACCTTTTTTTAAATAAAACCCTCTTCCCTGCTCTAAAATGCATCCCAACCACTCGTAAACCAATGACCTAACAGAAGCTGAAATCTAACCACCGATAGTTTGAGAGCAGCTGCCCTAGGGCAACTTCCCCTCAGCAAGTCACTCTCTACTCTGACCGCCTCACATTCTTCCCAAATTGCCCAAACCATTCTTCAAAATGATGAGGGTGGGATGCTGGGAAAATTGCTGTCACCGGTATTCTCAAGCGAATTGAGCTGTGGTCAGTTGGTTTGATAAAAAAATTTATGAGAAAAACAATTAAAACCAGTTTGATCCCACGGTTATCATCATCGTCCAGTCGCTTCCTCGGCTTGCCTGCCTGAGTTCCTAATGACACAAATGCTTTCAGTTAAAACAGCCTGTCTGCATATTTAAATTTAGCAAAAAACTGAAGCTTAATTTAGGTTGCCATACAACCATACAGCAACGAACGGCAACAAAGTAAAACAGGGCAAGGTCTTTAGCAGCTCCAAAAGAGAGCTGAAGAATTACCCGGAATGAGAAATTAGGCGATAATTAATGCATAGATCAACCGCGGATTCTCCCACCGCTCATTTACATCACTTCCAAACTGGGGGCGTGTAAAGGGGGCAGTATTTGTGAATTAGTCAACACGCTGTTAGGTGTGAATCTCTCCTTTTTGGCTGAATGTAGTTATACGTTCGATACCCAATTATTGATTCAGTCGAGGCTAAGTCCCGGAATCCTAAGTGCATATCACTGGTGAGAACAACATCTGGTGTCGGTTCAACATAACGACAGCATTGAGCGAATTTCACCCCACGAATCAAGCCAAACCTTGATAAGGGAAATTATCCCACTTCGCTCTACATCGACGCAACCCGGCATGTGTTTACTGATCCCCAAAGTTAGCTATGATTACTCTTAAAAAAGTCGACCAAAGCATCTGAATTTAAGGAACTGAGAATACTTCAGAGTTGGAGTTACTTAGACGACTCGCTTTAATTTCACTGAACCCATCCAAGAACGGGATTTCCTTCGTTTCTCAAATAAACAGATTGGATTCATTCGGATAAAAGGTCTGGAACAACGACCAGTTTCATAGACGTAATACTGAAAACTGTTCGACAGTCAAAGGGTTTTCAGCAACCTTAGGAGAAACGTGTTGCGTCTATCCAATGTATTACGATATATTGAATATCGTACCAACGAAAACATGAAGTGGCCTGGTGCATGAAATTCAGTTGATTAACATCACCTGGGCTCCAGGTGAGTCTCCCGTGAAAACCAAATTGGTATGAAGATGAGTGTATAAGTTGAACGACCGGTTTCAACTACTCACTGCATTGAAACCGGTCGCGAGCACATCATTGATTATCCCAACTTCTAACAGTGAACGATCTACGGCTGTTCTTTGATGGTCTTCCTCATTCTGGAACTATATATAAATCCCACCTTAATGGTGGCACTCTCAGGATACAGAGGACAAGTATATCTCAGCAGGTGAACTAACTGGAGCCTTGCAACAACTCAGTTACCATTTACAATCTGGACATTCTGAACCCATTCTTGTAGTAAGATTGCACTTTGAGGGTGCGAAGATCCAACACTGTTTGTCCTTAAGAGGGTGAAGAACTGAGAAGGACGATGTCATCTGTGTATGCCAGTTTGCATGCGGGCCGCAATAAGGTCCACTTCCGTGAATTTAGAGCCCTCCATCAACCCAACCACGGGGTTAAATAGAGGAGATAGAGTATCTCTATTCACTTTTGACAACCGCATGATTGTTTGCTCTCGATAAACGACCGAACGAGAAGGATCGGGCGGGCTTCAGACATGTGAAGTATATGAAGTACATGTTACTAGACTGTAAACATAGCAACAGATACAACAGGCAGCCGGGCGACCACAAGTGACCTTGTGTGTATAGATGTCTCCTTTGGCGAGACAAACCCCCGAAATGGGTCACTTTTCAGTTTCTTTAGGGGTTCAGGTTTCCGCAGAAAAGAGGTCCCTTCTTAAAAGGGATCACTTCTGGTCGGCTCCCTTGAGGGGTCTCTCAAACAGTATGCAACTGCAGGTCAATACTGAAGACTAATCAAAACTCTGAACTGCAGAAACCATGTACCAAAAAAGTGCAAACCCTGATCGGTCAACATGTACGGAAAACGAAGGCAAGGTTGTACAATAAAAATGTCCTCTTGAAAGAAATATAGCGCAGCAGAATCATAAGCTCGCTTCGGTATCACGAACTCGAATAATAGAAACGTCATCACAGTCAAGAAAGCAGTCCCAGATATTTGGTCCGTGGATAACGGGCATTGAGATCTTGCCATTGAACAATAACATCTGCGAACCGGGCGTAGTAGAGCAGCTGGCCAGAAACTGATAAGGTTTGCGTTCGGCAAATGCTCTCAATGTAGACAATCAGCAGAGGACGCATGAAAATCACCTGCGGAAGAAAATTAGAGAAAAAAGCCGCCGTGAGGGACGTGAACATATCACGTTCAAGGGGATGGTGTTTTTCTTCATCTCCCGGTAAATCAAACATTGGCACACATGGGATTGAAAAGTGGATAAATACTTCATCTTGTCAGCGAAGCCACTCTCTGCTGAAAAACCGAGAACTGTAAAGCACTTTCATCCTTATTGAGAATCATCAGCAGTGCACATCTCATGAATCTCAGAGCTTTAAATCCGTGACCTCCCGGCTGGTGGTTTGAACACAACCGTCTGGCCACGAGGAGCCGATCGGCAGTGTGATTGACTCGCCCACGATTCTTACAGAAAGCTCGTGACGTTACCTGTCTGAAAGGCTCGAAATACTCTACTAGAGTTATCACTTCAATGAGAAGTAAGGAAAGACATTGGCTGAACTGAATAATCCCCTAGCGTTATCAAGAACAAAATGAAGGGCATTAGTGTTTTCAGGACCTCGCCGTCAGGCCAACACATGTCTAGCGTAGACAGTAAACAGAAACGCAGATTTCACTTTCCGTTTGCTGAGCACGTTCTTTCGTTCTTATAGTGCCCCAACAGTGTAGTACTGATCTATGTCTCGGTATAAGGGGCAAAATGAGTCAGGTGAAAGAAAATGCGCCTTAAAATTATAACTACAAGTACAGCGTAAGTTCTGTTGACTCCATGTCTGGATGCGCCCCAACACAGTGCTGCCCTGTGGTTGAAGATGTTGGATCTCAATACCTGCATGTACTGTGTTGCATCACCGGATCGGGAGGATTTATTGGAACAGTGAACTTTATGAGCAGCACACATCTAGAGGGCGGTCAGCAGACCTATTTTTCTGATGCTGTTACATCTCACCTGATACTCCACCCTTTGAGTAGAGTCAGTCCGTGACGAATAAACCAGAAGTACAGTATAGCTATTTCATCCTTTTGTGAATCGTCAGCAACACGCATCTCGCGAATCTCCAGGAGATTCCAACTTGCGACCTTCCGGTCAGCTGTTGAAAACCAGGCCGTTCGGTCACAAGCAACTGATCAAAGGTGTGATTAGCTCGTACTTAGGATATAACGCCACCCGCCATTCAGCCACGAAATCCACCTCACGTGGACACACGCATCCACAGACTGCTTGACCGACCGATTTTCAGACGGAAGATTCACCCATCATGCGAATTATTCTCTTCTGAGCTACTTACAGTTTGTCGGTAGCGTGAAGTGACAGTACCTGTTACCCAAGCACATGACCTCTTGCCCAATATATACTCTGCTGTTATCTTCACTGACACCCGACGAAAGGGAGAGTAGGGTAGGATTCTACCGAAATTGGTCGAAACAACCACTACAATGTGACCCATAGTTTGAAAAACAGGGATAGTATTAGACAGTTTCCAAGTAAGCAAGTCACTAATCAAGCTCTGAGTACAAGTTAATTTTGTTGCAGAATATGCAGAAGATTCGTCAGATTTTTTATCACGGTGGCCCACTTTTGGTGCATAGTACTCGGTACTCCGCTGTCAATATCAGCGTGCGAAACTCTAAGAATCATTCACTGAATGCTCTCCAAGTACCAAAAAGTACAAACGGAGGCATGAAAACCCGTCCTGACAAGTATTAGCGAAGCGTGAGAAACAGAACTTGAAGACAACCATCCGCATCATCTACCAACCAGCCGGAAGAAAGCGAGGAACGAAAATGAGGGTGCCTACGTCTTTCTGGAGTGAGTACCACCCCAAACTTCCATTCTACTCCTTCGTTGTTGACACTGCCACGATTCACGCGCAGCCCCATTTTCAAACCTAGACCAATCATTCCAAAGAGGACTCCATCAGTTTCTATCGATAAGACACATTTTCGTCAAAATATATCAGTAAACAATATAATATATTAAGAAAACTGAGTATGGCTGGGGTACGGTTGGGAACGGATGCGCTTAGCTTCGCGCCCGTTAGGACGGCGAAATTCTGGTTACTTGTGAGTAGTTCAAAAGTTGACGATTTGTTTTCTGAGAATCCCTACTGACTGACTGGCTGACAATCCAAACGGACAACATATTTCTTATTCTGGGGGATCGAAATTAGCTTTTATCGCGAAAAATGTCAGAGGAAGACCTGAGTGATGCCAGTTTTGGAAGAATTATCTAAGCCTAAGATGGGAATAAGTGCTAGCGACCGAAGCACCGCAGCCTTAGGGCATATAGCCGAAATCGACCTGTTGAGAGTCCGATTAAAGTTGAACATTAAAAAACCACTTCTTTAAGCCGCAAGTAGAATTTTTTGGTCAAAAAACGTCCGAGTTCTGTGGAACTTCCATTTCTATGAACGCAGTGAACCGACAATGTTCTCGACTGGTTTACAAACAAGGAGCAAACTCTTCAATTGATACAAAACGTTAAGGTTTACGAAGACACTTGAAGTAATCAAAAACAGTACAAGGAGAAAAAACATCAAACCTATACTTAGTTTAGTGAATGATCCTATTTCACTCTTGTTCCTCAAACGGTTTTGAAAGCTAGCTTTGTACCGGGAACCTGAACATGCAAGCTCAACATGCTTTCTCGACGGTTTTTTGATGCAACCATGACAGGGTCCACATCAAAAAGTCGTCACGAATAAGGGTCGTGTTCTTCTCGGGCGACTACGTATTAATCAGCTGTTTGACTTGAATCCTGACTCGGTGCACTTCAATACAGTGACGGATTTTTTTTGCGAGATGGTGTAACACTTGCACTTTAAGGCTTCGCCACCAACTGCTGCGCGTAGCCGTCACTGCTACCCCCAGACATTTGACTGTCACAAAATAGTGCACTTGTCCAAATGGTAAACAGGTCAGGCTAATGAGGCGTCATTTCTAACACCCAGTAGACTCCGAGAAATCCTGAGGAAACATTACCGAGAATTCATTTCATCAAATATGCTGCGGAATATGCGGAGACTTACTCGGAGGAAGAAGGCCACGAAGCAAATGGGGATGCAGGTCCCTGGGCCATTGCATAGAATCTACAGCGAAAATCCACACGTTTGGAGCGAAATAAATGTCGTAACAATAGTGCTCATATTGTGAAAGATGCCCCAAGAGCGGCACATCAATGGGCATCGATTGACCTACACAAACAGCACAGGCCTCGTGCAAGCTTTGAAAGACTTGAAAAATTCAGGGTCTGGTGTGACCAAATAAAAAATAACATTCTTTTATGGGCAGCAGCAGGATTAATTAAAGCTCATTGAGAGGCTATCACCAGCCTGGCACGATTTGCGGCCGTTGCGCCAGTCTATACGAACGATATTTTTGAGAAACCGATGGTCGCAGATGAACTATACTTATTCATAAGGTTTTTGTCGGAAAAGTGGAATCGTTAGTATATGTCTAGGCGATACAAGCATCGGGAAGAAAAACAATCAACGCCGAGTTATTTCCTTGTTAACACATGCCAAATATACCTGAACGTACTGTGCGTAAAGTTCAACAAAGGCAACACAATTACCACCACTAACTTTGGTAAGATAAACCCTGTTCCTTGTTAATGCCAAATATACCTGAACGTACTGTGCGTAAAGTTCAACAAAGGCAACACAATTACCACCACTAACTTTGGTAAGAGAAAGAAAGGTGAATGGTGTTTTGTCTACGGTACCACGTTTTGGACCTTCGACCTAAAAGTTTGGCCCACAAAGCAGAAGTAGTAGGGTAATATTATTATATAATATATATATATATAATATAATATGTATACTAATATATATATATATATATAATATATCAACTGCAACACCCTTTCGGTGCTTAGCTACCGTGCCACAGGAAGCAGGATGGTTGA